ATATATCTCTTGCTGAAAGTACCCTTGATCCCATTGATAACGAGTGGGCCCAAATAATTCGATTGGAGTAGTTGCTGAACCATACCACATCGTTCCGGCAACAACAAAAGCTGCAAAAAAGACAGCAGCAATACTACTTGACAGTACGGTTTCAATATTTCCCATACGTAATCCTTTGTATAGACGTTGTGGCGGGCGGACGCTAAGATGGAATAACCCCGCTAATATGCCCAATGTACCTGCTGCAATGTGATGAGAGGCTATTCCTCCAGGAACAAAAGGATCAAAACCTTCCACACCCCATGCCGGATTGACAGGTTGTACTTTTCCGGTTAGCCCATAGGGATCAGACACCCATATTCCAGGACCATATGAGCCCGTTACATGAAATGCACCAAAACCAAAACAAGCCACTCCTGAAAGAAATAAATGAATTCCAAAGATCTTAGGCAAATCCAAGGAAGGTTTTCCTGTGCGCTCATCGCAAAATATTTCTAGATCCCAGTATACCCAATGCCAGATAGCTGCCAAAAAGCATAAACCAGAAAACACAATATGCGCACCAGCTACACCTTCATAACTCCAAATACCTGGATTTGTTGCAGTACCCCCTGTGATACTCCAACCACCCCACGAATTGGTAATTCCTAAACGAGTCATGAAGGGTATAACAAACATACCCTGTCTCCACATTGGATCAAGAACAGGGTCAGAAGGATCAAAAACTGCTAATTCATACAGAGCCATCGAACCGGCCCAACCAGCAACCAGAGCCGTATGCATTATATGAACAGAAAGCAACCGGCCGGGATCATTCAATACAACAGTATGAACACGATACCAAGGCAAACCCATGGAAATACCCCTTTATCAAAAATAAATAGACACTATGTAACTTTATTGCAGTGGGAAAGACTGTACTATGACTATTCTATGTACCTCCCCTATTCAGTGGATTATTTCCGAACAAGGGCTAATATTTGTTCTATTCTGTTGGTAATAATAATGAAATAATGGAACAACTCTGTTCGTAGGAACAAAGCTAAGCAGATTTATTCTATACTCGATAAGTACCAATACGCAATGGGGGTTGATACCAATTTCTCTGAGCGAATGCGCCCATACTTATTCATCCCTCTATTCCTAAAAATTGGACTTTATTCATTCATTTTTTCTTTATGATTTTTTCTAATCTATGGATAAAACTAATCTATGGATAAAATAAATACGAGATAAGTCTATATTATATTATAAAAACAATAAACTCATTTTGTTACGTTTCCCCATCAAAGTGAAATACAGTACTTAGTTCTTTTTTCTTTCATTTAATGCCTATTGGTGTTCCAAAAGTACCCTTTCGAAGTCCTGGAGAGGAAGATGCATCTTGGGTTGACGTATAGTGCGACTTGTCAGACATATTGGGTCATATGGGATTTTCCCGTTTTCTCCCCTGAGCGAGATATCCTCTGTTTCGCCCAAGAAAGATTCAGTGAATCATCAGAAATTTGGAGCGTGAAGTTCAATTAGATTTAGATCTATTTTAGGGGATTAATATTACATTGCTTCGAATAATTTATGGTTGACTTGGTTGGATTAAAAAATGAAGTATTCAGGCTCTGTTTAGAAAAACCCAATTGATTGGTAATATATCTACATATCTACGATTCCTATTTTTAGACTAAAGGATTCCTATTTGGCTTATTTGTCAAGCGAGTTAGTGTTACGAAATATTTGTAATGTAAAAAGGTATGAAATACATTACAAGACAAAGGGCAAAAAGTCATAATAAAAAGAAGTGGTAATGGGGGCCTTTGTCCTATATGTACAAATAAAACTCAGTCAAATCTTTACCCAGAGTAGAGCATAAACCTAAAAAGGCGAAACAGACCCAATCAGTAACAAGAAAATACCATCGTGATTTGGATTGAATTTCGATGAAATAATACATCAATGAGAAGTTAATTCAATGAGTTTAGTGACGTTTTTCTTTTTTTTATAATTTATTTTATATATATCTAGTCAAAAACTCGTATATCTATTGAAGAAGAAAAACCCTTTCGTTAGAAGACAAAAAGAGCCTGTTATCAGAAAAGAAGGAGGACTGGAATCTATACATTGATTACATTGATTCTTTTTTTATTTTCGCAATTTGTTTTGAACCGTATGCATCAAAAGGTGCATGTACGGTTTCTAAGGGATACACTTGAACCCTAATCAACCGACTTTATCGAGAAAGATTACTTTTTTTAGGCCAAGCGGTTGATAGCGAGATCTCAAATCAACTTATTGGTCTTATGATATATCTCAGTATCGAAGATGATACCAAAGATCTGTATTTGTTTATAAACTCTCCCGGGGGCTGGGTAATACCTGGAGTAGCTATTTATGATACTATGCAATTTGTGCGACCAGATGTCCACACAATATGCATGGGGTTAGCCGCCTCAATGGGATCTTTTATCCTGGTCGGGGGAGAAATTACCAAACGTTTAGCATTCCCGCACGCTTGGCGCCAATGGGTTTTTTGAGACAAAAAACAAAAAAGAAGACTATGCCTTCGCCCTATTAAATATGAATAGTAAGTAATAATGGACTATTAAGTAATAGTAGCATGGCACTTCGAATTCGATATGATAAATAAAATTTTGCATTGTCAACAAATTAGATTATGTATCGAGAGGGTAGTATGAGATAAAGGATATTTCCGATTTTCTCTTATTTTATTTATCGGACGTCCAGTTCAGCGTCACAAGCTCTTTTGTTTTTGGCTCTTAACATTAACACTATTTCTATTATGTAAAGAGTAGCAAAAAAATAAGATTTTTACTTATTTTTATTTCATTGGATTGGATCAAAAAGAAACTTTGGGATTGCTGAATTACAGAGAAAACAAATACTAAGTAATATAGTAAGTTAAGGCAACGGAGCCATCATAGTATTTTTATAGTATAGTATTTTAAAATATTCCAAAAAAAAAAGAAGGGTGGCATTTTGATCATTTGACTGTCTGAGTTTAATATATTCGTCTCTTTCTTCAATGGCAGGGAGGAGTCAATTTGAGTGTCGAGCCGTATGCATATGCAATGCACAAAAGATGCCCGTACGGTTATTTAATTCTATCTTTTTATATTCTTTTTTATATTTCTTTTCTCTTGACTTCATCAGCACCCCGCGAGATAGAGGGACTTTTTATTATGTTATATCATCAGGGTAATGATCCATCAACCTGCCAGTTCATTTTATGAGGCACAAACGGGAGAATTTATCCTGGAAGCGGAAGAACTGCTAAAACTGCGCGAAACCCTCGCAAGGGTTTATGTACAAAGAACAGGCAAACCTTTATGGGTTGTATCTGAAGACATGGAAAGAGATATTTTTATGTCTGCAACAGAAGCACAAGTTTATGGAATTGTCGATCTTGTAGCGGTTGAATGAAAATAACATGAATTTCACGCAAATCTATGATTTGATTTGCAATTTTATCTCTCAATTTAATTCATAATCATTCGGTTAGGATCAATCTAAACCAGTACATTATGTATACAATTCAGTATGCCAACTATTAAACAACTTATTAGAAATACAAGACAGCCAATCAGAAAGGTCACAAAATCCCCCGCTCTTCGGGGATGCCCTCAGCGTCGAGGAACATGTACTCGGGTGTATGCGCGACTCGTTTAGATCATATCATGATCTGGCACAAAAGCCATTTTCAGTATCAATCATCAGTACCAGCGGATAGGATATAGCAGAAGCAGGGACTACATTAACTAACTATTTTAAAAAAGAATCAAATCTATCCCCCATTGGATTATGCATAAATTTTATGGTTTCTATCGGTCCAAATCCAATCAATATGAGAAGCAATTTTCCATTGGTAACAAATGGTTGTCCATTAAGCGGAGGAAAGCTTATTTAAAATAAAGATTGGGTTCCCACTCTGGCAAGAACGGAATAAGAGGGTCAGCTACCCAGCTAATTTTCATAATTAAATACCGTTACTGTATAGCTAGATCTCGTTGTGAAAGACCTATTACTAGATAATTCATAGGTAGAGCCAAAAAGGATGAACTATACAAGTTACCAATAATGTTGATTAAATAAAATAAAGTAAAGGCTCCGGTGTATAGAGAAGACCTCAGCGTTTAATAAGTCACCATAGAAACGATGGAACCCACGATTTCTTTCTCTTTATCCGTTTATAGTTTTTATTTACGTTATTTTTTACACTTATCGCAGAATACAATTTCTTATTGCGCAGTGAAATGCCTAAAAAAAATCGTGGTTGGGAAGGTTATAGCAGCCAAAGCCAGTGGAATTTTTAGTTTATACATTGGAAACATCCGTTTTGTTATTACTAAATTAGGAAGGGGTAAAAGACTAACTGAAAGAAAAGAAATCAATTAGTTATTTGTCAAATTTGTCAAAGTTTCATCTATTCAATGACTAGAATTAGACGGGGATATGTAGCTCGAAGACGTAGAACAAAAATTCGTTTATTTGCGTCAAGCTTTCGGGGGGCCCATTCAAGACTTACTCGAACTATTATTCAACAGAAAATAAGAGCTTTAGTTTCGGCTCATCGGGATCGGGATAGTAAAAAAAGAAATTTTCGTCGTTTATGGATCATTCGAATAAACGCAGCAATTCGCGAAAGGTTCGTATCCTATAGTTATAGTAAATTAATACATAATCTACACAAGAGGCAGTTACTTCTTAATCGTAAAATACTTGCACAAATAGCTATATTAAATAGGAATTGTCTTTCCATGATTTCGAATGAGATAATAAAAGAAGTAGATTATAAAAAATCTAACGAAATAATTTAAATGGAGTTTCCCGGAGTTTCTTCCCCGGGAAGGTAGAATCCAAATTCCTATGATAAAATAGGATTTGATAAAATATGATTAAAGTAGTCAAAATAAATGAACGCATTCAATAAAAAAAGCTTTCTACGATTTGTTTTTTCTTACCACACGGTAATTAAATCTAGATCGTCG